CCCTAACAACTAAACAACTAAACATTCTTGTGTCCCTCTAGGCATCTCAATAGTACTTAGTTCTAAGGGGTAAAGGGTGCAGGGAAGACATTATGTTCGTCTATCTGATCACACAGCTCAGAGTTTCCACTGCCACCTCTGAACAGTTGTCTTATCCAAGACAATGCCGTGGCTCTTCCTTTCCTAAACCTAAAATGGGTCATTTTTAAGGGAAGTGAAAATTATAATTCCATCATTCTGGATAGAATGAGTAAAGGGAAAGAGCTCTCTCATTTTCTCTCATCCAACAGCTAAATTAACATACACCCCTAGGCACAGGGCTTTAGGAAACTGAAAGTTAGTAAGCAATTACAATGTGAAATGAAAGTATACACTGTGGTCCAGAAGCCTGGGCAGTTCTACTCTCAGAATTCCCTACCCTAAGGTAGAACATAATGCCTTTGCTAAAAACACAGCTGGTTCAGGTTCATTTTTCCCCAGAATAGGCACATAGTAAATATTTGTGCATTGATTAGGTGGGCAAACATTCTTTCCACTTTCCATCTTATTCTTTTTAATTTTTTATTCTTGAATGTTTAGCAAAGGTGCAGGTGGTTAGTGTTCAATACAGCTTGAAGGAATGTTGGTGATAGTGGCTGTCATCTGTATTTCCCAAACTGATTTCTAAGTAACAATGATTCTAGGTATCTTGAAAAAAGGAGAGAAAAGGTTTTGTGTTTAAATAAGTTGGGGGAACATTATTTAACTTCCTACTCTGGTTCCCCAAGATTCTCAAAGCACATTAAATAGGCTGAGAAGAGTTTGGGGGGAAATACACAGTTCTAAGTTGTTAAAATAATTTCTTTCCAGGTTGATTTGATTATGGAACAGTTCCCTCCCCCATCTTTTTTGTCATATCTGTTGAAGTTCCACAAATTTATGGTCTTTGGAAAATACCTTGGGAACTACTACTTGAACCCAATTTCTAAATTTTGCTGGCAAAAAAACAAAACAAAACAAAAACAGAGGTTCTAAGAGGGGTTGAACTTCTTATAGGTAGTTGGTAGGGGAGCTAGGACTAGAACCCTATTTCTTGACTGCCTGGTTCAAACTGGTCAACCACACCCAACTAGGGGGCATTTCTTAAGGTGGGTTCTGGGATGCCAGGCATTATATGTAGTCCTTAAGATAATGGGTAAAAAGGATGAGAACATTTACTCCATAATGGGTCCTTTTGGGATACTTTGCTAGAAGATAGAGGTTGTTTTAGGTGCTTTTAAAAATGGGTAATTGTATCCCACTCTTTTGTGACTCCATAGTTCTTGAGGTGCATTTCATTGCAGCCACTTATTTAATAAATGTTAAAGAACCTAGTGGGGTCAGAGGAGGTTGGTGGCAGGGAGGAAGAAGGAAAGGGTCGGAACCTGAAAAGGAGAGAGAAAAGGAAAAATGTGAATAAAGAGAGGGGTAGATGAAAAATAGGAGCCAGAAGCCACTGATCAGTGGACGATAGTTGAGACCTGGCAGAGAAAGGAAAGGAGACAGCTGTAGGTGACTGAAAAACAAAACAAAACCGAGTGAACAGGAAGCTTTGCTTTTAAAAAGTAAAAGTGACTCATGAGGCTAATTTGGATGCTGGCCATGCCAGGAGGGCCCTGCCAGGAGATTGGGTTGAGCACCAACTGCTGAGAAACCTAGTGAACTCGGATCAAGGTGTATTTATTGAATGAATACAATAGATATGCAAGGTGTCTTCTTAAGCACCACAATCATACATGAGTAAGACACAGGTCTTACCCTCAGGAAAGTGACAGTCTAATAGGAGAAAAGCTAGGGCAGGGAAAGCTAGGACAGGGACTTTGCTAAGACAAGGAAAGGTAGAATGTGATCAGTGCCCCTAGAGGTACTAGAAGCCAATACTGCGAGGAATCAGGTGTCAGGAAGATCATATCAAGTCTTGAGGCTCTAAAAGGCCTATGTGGGAGGGCCATGAGGCATAGATAGGATTGCACCAGGCAATAGTGGGAGATAAGAGGAGAGGCATTTCAAGGCAATATGATAAGGAATCTTCAGGCGGTGGGAAAGCATATGGATTAGTGAGTGTTTGCAGCCAACTGGGTTGCAGCCAAGGGGACATATGGACTGGGAGGGGTGTAGAAAGAAAGTTTTGAAGTCACACTGGGGGGCTTTGAATGCCTGGCTCAGGTACTGATGTTCCAGGTAGTCAATGGGTAGCTAGTGAAGTGTGTGTGTGTGTGTGTGTGTGTGTGTAGAAATAATAACATTGGAGATGGTTCTCAGGCCGGGTTACTGTGCAGAAGGCGTAAGTTAGGGAAGGGGCTCACCTAGTGAGGGAGGATGCACTTTGGTTTTGGAGACACTAAGGATCAATCTGAAAATCCTGCCAGAGATAGTGCCTGAGTTCTCTGACCACAGAGACCCAGAAGGTTCTGGTCATTACCTCAGGGGTTAGGGAACAAGAAAGAATGAGAGGAAAAGAACCAGGAGGAAAAGACACAAAGAACAGCCACAAGAGGTGGAGATGTCTTTCTTGGTACAATTTTTTAAATTGAATTTATTGGGACGACATTAGTTAATACAATTATATAGGTTTCAAGTGTACAGTGCATCTCTAATAATCATCTGTATATTGTATTGTGTGTTTACCATCCAAAGTCTCTTTCCATCAACATTTAATCCCCTTTTACCTTCTTCTACCTCCCCGCCACCTCCCTTTCCCTCTTGTAATCACTATACTGTTGTGTCTAAGAGGGTTTTTAAAAATTTAATTCCTTTACCTTTTTCACCCAGCCTCTCGACCCCCTCCACTCTGACAGTCTGTTCTCCGTATCTTTGAGTCTGTTTCTATTTTGTTTTTTAGTTTATTTTGTTCATTAGATTCCACATATGAGACCGTATGGTTCTTGTCTTTCTCTGACTGGCTTATTTCGCTTAGCATAATATTCTTTAGGTCCATCCACGCTGTTGCAAAAGGTAAGATTTCCTTTTTTTTTTTTTTTACAGCACAGCAGTATTCCATTGTGTAAAGGTCCCATGTCTTTTTTACCCACTCATCTACTGATGGGCACTTGGGCGGCTTCCAAATCTTGGCTATTGTAAATAACGCTGCAATGACCATAGGGATGCATATATTCTTTTGGATTAGTGCTTCAGGTTTCTTCTGCTATATTCCCAGAAGTGGAATCGCTGGGTCATAAATAGCAAGGAGTTTCCTCAAAAATTTTTTTAAAATAAAAAAAATTTTTTTAAAGAGGTGGAAGTTTCAATAAAGAAATTATAGCCAGAGTTTCGAAACCCAGCCTTGGAATTGAGAGTAGTGTGTTTCAATGCCAGTGGCCTGACTACTCATGAATAGCAAAGGGACTTCAAGGAGTTTCCATTTATTTTTATTCATTCTAGCCTAAGGGTATGTTTTACTGATTTTAGAGAGAGGGGAAGGGAGGGAGGGGGAGAAAGAGAGAGAGAGAAACATAGATGTAGGAGAGACACCTGATTGGTGGCCTCCCATAGGTGCTCCCACCAGCGATGGAACCCAAAACCTGGGTATGTGCCTGACCAGGAATCCCATGGGCAACCTCCCCAAGCCAGGGACAGTGCTCCCCACGGGGCCACACTGGCCGGGGCTCAAAGAGTGTTTGAGTCTGTTTCCTCATTAACGGGAGTGATTTACATCTCAAAGGCTGAGAGCATTCACTGAGGAAACTCCTTAGCAAAGGGGTTTGCACACCTAGGAGTCCAGGGGGCAGCTAGAGAAGGACCTGGAAAGATTAAGGGTATCCCCTGAGGCATGTCGGGAACCTGAGGCCAGGGACCCTCAGGAAGCCCAAAGCCTTTGCTTTAGCCGAATTTGCTGGCTGCCCTGTGAGGGGAATGGTGAGCGGGTCAAGGCAGCCTTAGCCTAGTCCCCGCTCCAAGGCACTGCCCTGTCACCCCGGCTTCCACC